CAGTCTCTTTTTTCTTAGTTCTTATCTTCATTTTTTTTTTTAAAGATGCCTTTTTTTTTTTTTCTTTTTCCTTTCCGTTTATGACCATACAAATTAATACTAATGTTAACAAACAGAACGCACAAAAGTTTATTGTTTATGATCGTACAAAATAAACCACAATGAGAATGTTTTCGTTTATGGTTGGACACACTAATAATAATGTTAAAGAAGGCACATGTCTATGGCAGTAGCGGTGATACAATAAGCAACAGCAGTGGCATCGCATTGATTAGTAGTACTCGCAAAAGTAGCAGATGTAGCAGAAGCCGTGAGAATTAAAGTCCTTCCACCTCTGACTTTCCCACATTGTAGTATCTCTGGCTGCCATCTTGTAAATCCTGCATTTGCCCGCGCACTTACACAGCTCTCCAGCCCACGCCAGTGCAAAGCTGATTTAGCACCTAGCGTCTCCTGCGACCGAGACATAAGTGTGTGTAAATGTCTCCACAGAGGACAGATAAGACGGAGCTCGGAAGACTGCGCCAGGCTGACAAAGATCTCAAACGCCACAATAACCCAGTCCAAGCCCAAGAAGTTGTGGGGCCAGGCATGAGCGCTCTGCTGCCTCCCAGACTGCAGAGGGAGTGAAGAGTGAGTGGGCGGGCGCGCTGTGAGTTACTGTCACCATCACAAGCAAACAGTGTGAAGAAGAGATGAATGCTCTGCTGACTTGTCACATGCAAAGGTTTTTTTTATGCCTCTAGCGGTGATGGGGTAATTTACAAAGTCGCGAGGAGAGAAATGATGGCCCCTACCTTGTTATAGCAGAGAAAGAAAACAAATTAAAAGGGATGGAGCTTGTACCTTGTGTTTGGTGCTGGTTCCAGACATGTTTCAGATTTGATTACATGTTCATGAATAATAATAGTCAGTAGTTCAGTCTGAGTTCAGTGTGGTTTGTGTGCCGACTAACGCAATTTGTAAACAAGTTGTATATAAATCAAGACAGATATTGCAGGTTGGCCTGTCAACATATAAGATATGAAATATAAAATACAGTATAATATACAATATGTAATGGAGCTGGAACAATATATTTTGGAGCTGAATATTTATCATGTGTACATTTTTATGTAATACAATAAGATTTGAGTTGCAGAGGGTAAAATAAATAAGTTGTCTGGTTATTTATTGGTTCTTTATGTTATTTATTTGTTGCAGCTCATGCCTTTTAATGATGCTGTATGTTTTAAAAAGTTTTACTGGAATTATCATGCTTTGTGTTAGTGGCATAATGTAATTTCAGTATTATAGCTTATTGTTTAATGTTTCTCTGTACTAATATATCATGCTTCAAAATGTGTTATCCTAACAGGCCTAATTGCAGGTCAAATGTGCCAGTTGGAGCGATAAAGTAGTCACACTCTCGTCTAAATAAAATATTGGGGAAAAAAACAAACAAACAAACAAACAAACAGAAAACTGTTATTATTTTGGTAGTCACTGGGTTCAATATTAAAAGCATGAATTTTAAACATGTTGTTTTAAATCTTGTATTGAACTGAGACTAGAGTGCTCATAAAATTTCCGTTTTCTCCTACCCCTTATCTCCACCCACAGCTCTACACTTACATATAGGGATGTAACAATAACCAAAATACTGTGATATTGTATAATCAAAAGTCAGCGCCCTCGTAATATATTGAATTACACGTTTCTTTGCTTGAATTCATTGTTATGGTGTGGCAGAAGAGAGAACTACATAAACCATGATCCTTTGCTCTGTTTCAGTCCAATCTACATGATGAAATAACTTTTATTAAGCACTATTACATATTGATTATTTTGATTATGACAGAAAAGACGGATATTCACAATTTTGTTACCCTTCACAAAGAGTTGCAATAAATATCATATTGCGAGATGCATATCGTGAAAATATAGTATCGAGACATTTGGATATAATTATGTACCTACTTAATTGTAATTATTTTAATGAATCTATAAATAAATAAATATCAGTTCTGCAGTTTTTAACAGGAAGTCAATGAAAATGTTTCAATTATTAATCTTTTTTAGATAAATATAGTAGTTTACAATGAACAAAAATTAAAATCATTATGTACATATGTGATAGTTTAATATAAAATGAATTTATTTAAAACTACTACCAATAATAACACAATACAGGACCTAAATCTGCGTGTCAGCTCTCCAACTACTAGGCCACCATCCCAAACGTGCCCATAGATGTTAGGATATACTTTAAATATGATTAAAAAAAATCATATATGAGCATACAGTTATGATGTACCATGAACTGGAGAAAGCGGTGCTGTTTATTTTATGTTAGTGGCATGTTAGATAGCATGTCTTTCTTTACAAGGGCAACCGTACGATGCTCATTATTCAGTACGCATTACCAACAGCTTGACTTGAGTATATAAAAGTCTATGTTGGATATTTGGGACCGTGCACACCTTATTTAAAAGCAATGAGGTCTGAAAAATGGCCAACCGCAGCTGAACACGGATTCATTTTTAATGCAGTCCAAATGAGTTTTATTTTGTGGGATTTCAAGGGAATGACAAGCTATTTGATGAATAATGTATAAGATTACTGAAAATTAGTTGGTGCACACAAGCAGCAGTGAATCCTTATGGTCTCGCAACTTTCAACTGTGAAATATGGACGTGTTAAAAATATGCAGAACGGAGCATAGCAAATATTATCACAATAATCTAAACTTTGATCGAAGTTAAACCCAGGTATTTATGCAGTGGATTTGTACAATGCTTAGACTTTCTGATTTGTTGACATCAATAACAAGCAGTGGAGATTTGAGCTAAGAGCAGGGGAAAGCAGATTAAAAAATACTCTTCTTGTACTTTTCTTGTCTGATTTTAACATATCTCTTGCCACCACGCTAAGTTACAGGTCAGATCTGGAGATGTGGAGAGGCAAGCCCACTCAATTTAAGAATGCATGTGTTTTGAAAGGTCCATATTACGAGATGTTGTTTCTTCATTGGAGGTGTGTCTTGTTTCATTAACGCATGTTTAAACACACAAACCCTGCATATTTAGTCCATATTTAGTGAGTTCTCTCTGTTTCATCTTGTGAAGTCATGTGGTAAGTCAGAAAGTGCTCCAATCTATTTTGAAACTCCTTCGCTAGAATGAATTCATATGGATACTGTATAACCCTGGAAATGCCAATCTCTACTGAAATAAAGGTCACAGAAATGCTACGACTACATGACATCACAAGGTGGAACAGAAGCATTTTGAGCTCTGGAGATGCTAATAATAAAGGATTAGTCAAACATGTGTGAATGAAACAAACTGTATTCTGCGTAATATAGGATAATATTGAATAAAAGCATTTCAAGCATTAATGCCATTTCAAACAACAAAATGTAATTATTTTGTATTATAGTATATGATTCCCCTCTCATCACAGCACAATCTTCAGGTATTCTGTTGAAGTCTGAGAACCAAAAAGCATATTATGTTCAATAAAGCTCCTTTAATGCTTTCTCTTTGTGTCTGCCTGAATCCCTCCAGGTTGATTTTAGTTCATCACATTCATTTGAGATATATTTCTTACATCCAATTTTTGTATTATTTTCTATGATAAGGTCTAATTTTAATCTAAAAGCAGAGAATAGAAGAAAAACAACATATTAATCACTGAAACTGTGAGCACAAACCCAACCTGTCATATTACGTCTGAGGACATTTCTCTTGCATTTGATGACTCAAAGCTTAACAGTTATTCTGCATCGTTACAAAGTGCTAACAAAGCTCAAAAACTTCATTAGACAGATTTTTCTGTTATTCTAATAATGCAGTTTTAGATCAGTTTGTGAAAAAATGCTGGAAAAAGTTGAGAATTACAGGAAGTAGCAGTGAGTTCAACAAAGTAGAGTTCTGTGTCATCATCAAAACACAAAATCCCATCCAAAATGCAAGGATAATTTATGCACAAGAAAGTGAAGGAACATGTTTTTCTTAAAATTTGAGTAAGGTGTGACCATACATACTATATTTGTATTTGTCAAATCAAAACTATTGTGTAAATTTGAGTTTAGACTCTTGTTTACAGTGTGATTGCTAGGTAACAGGCATAGAAATACTAGGGCTGTAAGCGACTAAAGAAATTCTTCTCTAAACTATTATGTATCTCTATGTATATTATCTGACCTAAACTGTACTCACACAACTTCACGGGACTTTATGTAAAAATACCAAAAAATAGCAATTCGTCAGCTAACTCACTCACTAACCTCTCCTTTCTGCTGTTGTCCCATGTAAATCCGTATAATTTAAATTAGGGATGTAATGATATCCAAATCTCACGGTACAATATTTATTGCGATATTTTGGAGAGGCTAATATAATTGTAGATAGGACGCGTTTCTGCTTTTAAAATACCTTGACAAGATTTTGGTGTGAATTATTTCCATCATAATCCCAAGAATTTAAGTAAAAAACATTTCTTCGTGTTGTCTGCACTGAAATGAATCAGAGGATATGTAGTTCCCTATGTTTATGAGCTGCTACTATAAAACCATGCATTTAAGCAAAGGAACTTGTAATTCAATATATTGTGACAGCCCACGATATTGTTGTGAGACTTTTGACGATAAGATATCATGATATTTCAGTTATTATTACATCCCTAATTTAAATTAAATAATTATTTGACTAATACAACTTTTGGTCAGCTAAGAGATCATCGACCGACAAATCGACTACAGGCCTAGAATCTTAATTACCAATGTATGTCACAGCTACCAATGCCCAACCAGGAAATATAATTCTAAACCATCTCTATCAGACTTGAGAATACAAGGCAAATGAGAATAATTATGTTAACTACATTTCAGTGAAGAGAGTCGTCTAACCTGTCATATTCATTAAATATGACGATTGTAAAAACTAACCCAGAAGTGACCACACCCTCAGTGTGAATGTGTTTTTAGAATAGACTCTGTTGAAGGAGCAGTGACTCACAGGTTCGGTGAGCTCCAGCACTGTGGCCTTGTACGTGATGGGGCTGCAGTCCCTGGTGCGGCCTACAGGGGTACACGGTAAGAACTTGGGGCCCAGGTCGTCTCCGTCCAGAACATCTACGGTCAGTGTGGTGGTGGTGGTCCGCCGCTCGCTCAGGTTGGCAGCACGGTCCTATGGGAGACAAGTGTGCTGTTACTCAGAATGAAAATATACAGGGGAAAGTTATAGGAGCAAATTTGGAGCCACGTTCCATACTAGGAATAGGAATTGATTTACAGACAAATAGCAAATTAAAAACACCAGGATCATGTAGAACAGGTTAATATAAACATTTTAAGATGTTTTTTCAATACAAAGTAAATTGGAGTTGATGGTGCAAGAGCCATGTTCATGTTCACTTCCTATTTGGAACACGGCCTTTAGCGGGTTAGCTATGTCCATTTATACTAGTTTATACAGTCTCTGAACCAATGTATAGGGCTGAGCTACAATATCAAAGTGTTAGTGTAGTATTGTCATACTAAATTTGGTGATACAGTATCATTATTATTATTATTATTATTATTATTTTTTTTATAAAAACACAACAGTCAATAAACCAAGTCAAAACAGATCAATAAAATGTGTGTGTAATGTGTTTGGTTGATTGTGATATACCACAGAATATTATGAGCAATATATTGATTATCACATGTATTGTAAAATAGTGACAGAAAATGTTTCAAATGCAAGACATTTTTAAATACATATTGTGAAGCTGTAGCTACTAGCTGTAAGTCAGACCATTGTGCTGTATTGTATTGTATTTAAACAAAAACCTATTATTAATAAGATTAGAATGTATTCCTGTCAGTAATTATCTTAAACACAGTTCAGTAAATGAATAGTGTTGTGCTTAAAAGACAACTTTTATTGTTTCAGACTTTGTTTTAGAGTTTTATAAATATATTTTCCAATCCTCACAAAGTGAAATTACAGTATTTAAAGCTTTTCAAACTCTTCTCCAAATGATGACCTTGGAAGAGACGAAACAAAAACAGCTCCTTTGTATCCTTGGTAATCTTTTAGGACCATAACCTTGAAAAGACCCCAAGCTGGAAATGACAGGTTTAGTTGGCGATTATAAGAGCTTTCAAAAATCCTTCAAGTTTGAGTGACATCCAAATGCATTTATTCTAAAAGTCTATTTGGGCAAGGTGTGAATGGCCAATTACATGTTTGTTTTTCCAATGTGCAAACATGCATTAGCAGTCTTTCAAAAGCACATTTAGTAGATCTATTTTCTGAGCCGCTGTTGGCTATTTATGAACAGAGACTGGCACAGCACTAACAAGGTCAAATATGCTATACTGCAGGTGAAAACAGTTGATAACACGCTACATTTTACTAGAATCTACCCTAGTTTTTGGCACCCGTAATATCTGATCGTTTTTGCATTTTCTTAAATGATCAGATTATTGAAATGGAATGTAAAAAAACAAACTCCGATAATCTGATTTCTTTTGGAAGGTTCGCATATGTGCAATTGTTAAAGAGGAAGATACAGCAAAAAGGCAAAACAGATAAGATACAGATAAGATACAGACAAAATGTAAAGTAAAAGTTGCTTTTAAATGAATATACTTTGACTTCCAAATACAACCGGCTACATTTACACACACACCAGAAATCTAAACATTATCGGATTCATGGAGGTATCAGATTCTTGAAATGTCATGTAAACATTTGATGTGAATAATCTGATTCCTTTACACCTCTGTAGGTTTTGAAAAGGGAAATTATGCAAAAAGGGCAAACTAATGTGACAAACACAAAAATGAAAGTAAAGATTGAAAGAGTTATTTTAAAAAGAATTGTGCTCTGTCTTCACAATAAAGCATGTTGGGCATAGGCTGTATGGACATAGGTAACCTGCCAGCTGCTCCGTGTTCATGGAGGAGTTTCTGGTTCATGGAGGAGTTTCTGGTTCCATCGACTCAGACTTTACATTGTGAAATTGACGGCCCTCTCTCTGAAACTGCTGCATTGAGCCTCATCTTAACCCACTCTACATAATCCTGGTGTTTTTATTTTGCCATTTTGTCTGTTAATAAATCCCTCCTAATATGGAACTTGCCCAAACACTATTGTGACGTCACACTCCCTTAGTCTGCTTCTTTAAACAGTCTATGGTTACAGGTTAGCATATATAAATAGGCACTAAAAATTATAATAACAAATAAGGTGTATAAAGTGTTGTACAAGCGGCAAATAAATGAGGAATAAAATTAAGCTAAAACCAGTTAAAGGAGGGCCAACCGATAAAAATGATTATTAAGAAGTGATTTAAAAGATGATACTGATGGTGCGAGCCTTATCTCCTCAGGTCATTCCAAAGCCGAAGCACCAAGACCGAAAAGTCTCGATTACCCTTCGTCTGGAGCCTGGACTTTGGGACAGCTAACAGGGACCTGCCTGAGGATTTAAGGCTGCAGGAGGGCTCATAGATCTAATTATTTTGTTATCTGATTTTTTTTAGTTATCTGCTTTTTACTGCCAATGTAAATATACCCACAGTTACTCTGAAAATCCATTCATTGTGTTATCTGATTTCTCCAGTTATCTGGTTTTTGTAGCCAACAACAAGTCCAGGTGGTCATAATATTTAGCTTGATGGTGCAGCTCAAATTTCTTAAAAAGTCAGCTGAGAGCAAAGGCATTGTCCATCCCCCTTTAATCATGAACTCATAAATAGCCTGGAAGTGAAGGAAGCACGACACTAATTAAACCTGGTTTCAACTTTACATCTGACAGTGTGTATGAAGTCAATGGTGTCTGCTCTATTGCATTAAGCTTGTACTGTTCCTCATCTGACAAAGAGAATCACCAAGACGGCCTCCCTGTCAGCGTAATGCCTCTTATCACAGTGACAAGGCCTGATTTGAGGTAACAAGCCAGTCTATAATAGCTCTAATTAAAACTCCAATAGATTACATCAGTGTCAGGATATTTACATAAATGTACATGTGTAGGCTTCACGTAATTACAGGCTACAAAGTTGACAAAGTTGATGTTATGGTGTGAGATAACTTTATAGAACTATGCAATATGTTTAAAGGGAGTAAAAAATGACGCTCTTTGGGGGAGATTGGTTTCATTGGCAAAGCAATTTAGCAAATAAAGCTGTAGTGCGGGTTGTGTTAATGATCTGCGACCAGGCAAGAGGAGGCCATGGATTTCTTGATTCAGGAGGAGGTAATTGAAATCTAATTTTGATCAAGACAGGAATGATGGAGAGGTCTAGTTTTCAACATTTGTATTGCCAGAGTAGAAGAATAGAATGTTAATTTTCTATTATCTTGACAGCTAATGATTGGTAAATAAATGGAAGCAGCTTTATGAGTTCAAAGGCTAATGTACTATTTTTGCCAGTCACAAGTGTGGATTTGGGAAGTCACAAATAGGGATGCACTGATACAATACTAGAATTGAATATTGGTGCCAATATTGAACATTTTGGTCTACAAATTAGTGTAATAAGATGATTTACTAGCCAGTGTTGGTGCAGAACATTTCATAATATTAAACTTGTATTTTTACAAAACTGTTCTGTAGTTACAAAACATGTATAGATAATTTTACCTTACACTGTTTGTATTTAAAGGAAATAAATATTTTCAGTCCCTGCCCTGGTATGGGTTGATGGGTATTGCAGATAGGTGCATTGCGTAACTTTTCTGGTGGATATGTCATTGCTCTGCCAGGAATGTTCCACAGTATGACATTAAACATCTACCTTACATTTACTAAACTACAGGTGGTTTTATAGCTCCAAAATACCTAGAATTTTGATGGTAAGCGGGGTTGCCTCTTCACAGATCTGACTTGTAATTTGGTCTGATGTGATCTCCATGAACATAGAAAGGTTTATACGATACTGTGAAACATTCCAGACAAAGCAACATCTCCATAGAGAAAAGAATTTGATGGGCCCTCCAACCAAATGTTACACAACACATCATTAAAGCCAAAGTATCGACATCAGAATCGAAACAGAAAAGCCTAAATCGGTGCATCTCTGGTCACAAAATCAAATGTAACTTTTTTTTTGGTTTTTTTTTTGGAAGAAACATCTAATTTTTACACTTTTCCCATTTACTGACACCACAGAAAAACAAGAGTGAAATCCTTTAGAATTCATATTGTGTATGTGGCGCTGACATAACTTTGTTTGCTTCTAAAATGTGTATGATTTTTACTGCCAAGTCAATTAACAGCAAAAATCTTGGCATCCCTAGCTCGATAGGCCATTATGCAAATCATAAAAGTATAGGACGTGTTCAATCCTTCATTTTAAAATATGTCCTTTTAGAGGTCGTCAAAATAAATCACATAGTTATTCATTTGGTGTTTGCGATGCAATCTTTCAAATTTATTTTGGTGAGTTGACATGTGTAATCTTATGGGGGCTACGGTAACCTAACAGCTATCATAAGTTGACTGGAAGACTGACTTCTGTTCCTGATTAAAAAATTTTAGTTACTAAGATTTAATTTTTTTCTAATAATTCACACATATTTCCAAGTTTAAAAGTTTAAATAGCATATCGCCAGAGAAAAGAGGTCAGCAAAGGCCAAAATGATTCTTATGTTGTTGAGAAGTCTCCATCACGTCTTTTCCTCGCGGTTAAAATACAACACTTCACTTTATATTGTACTGTGAATATGTCAGGCTTTCAGGCAGACTGAACAGCATTCACCTTCCAGTGCTGTTGACTTTTAATAATGTGTTCAGGCTAAATGGGCCTTGAGAAATATGAATATTAACCAAAAATGCTTTGTTGAGAACTAAAGCTTTTGAGTGCCTTCTCTGTCAGCACACAATCCCTAATGGCAAAACTTAGCAATTTTCTGTGGCGCCTAATGTTCAGATCTCCCTCAGCCTTTGGCCCTACTACTCTGTCTGAGTGAAAATATGAGTGTTATGGTATGAATAAAACATGGCATGCAAAACAAGAGGACCAAACAATTGTATTAAAAAGACGTTAATAGTAATTATAGAGTGCTGCCAGCTCCCTTAAGGCTAATAGATCACAATAGTTGGTGGTTGCTATGGCAGTTAGATAAAGCAGTATTGTGAGAATACGATGCTATAAAAGTGGTATTAAAGTAATAATAAAATGGGTTTTATGAAAAAGTGGATCAAAATAAAGTGTCAGAAGTAAAATGGTCACACAAGAAGGATCACTGACTAAAGAACAATAGCCTGTAGAAAATTGCAATGCTGTTAGGAAGTGGAAGTCAAACTTTATGAAGCCAGGAGTTATAACTACATAAAGTATAAAGTTATTGCTATCTTTGGCGAAAGGGGTCACATTTTGGCGATCATAAAATTCACTGTAGCTGCAGTCTTTTAGTGATACGCATATGTCACCAGAGAAGGCAGCCTTCCTCCCTGTCCCTATCTCAAACTGGTAAAGATAAAGGGTCCAGACCTGGCCTCAAATGGGGGGATTCCACTTTAATGCTTACTGCATTATTCATTGAGACTCAGAGCCCTTCTATCTCACAATGGCGATACCTGGATACGAGTTGATCTCGAAGCACATTGACCTATTGATTTGTTTCTCAGACAAACCCTGCACACTGCAAAGACTCCTTTGTAATATTAGTGATGGCTATTTGTACAGTAGTAGTAGTAGTGTGTACAGTACAGAAGTAGTAGTACTACAGTAGGGAAATGAGAGTCCAGTCTACAGCTGCTCCTACTCACATCTGCTAGATCCCTAGAGTCTAGAGCTCACATCTATATGGGAGTCACATCAAGGACAGGCAAAGATCAATAAAAGCACATCAGTTCATTATAAATGAGCAATATGGACCAATGTGGAATGTGGAACACACTGACCAACTCAATGAGGAAGAAATTATAATTTAAATTTTAAAAATACATCTTGGAGATTTTCAATTTAATAGAAATAGCATCTAGAAAATGAGCTGTGACAAAATCATTCCTAAACTAGAAAAGCACTCAGAGAGCGCAGACCTCCGCCAAGGACTACCCCCATTTTTTATATAAATTGCGATAAAATCAGTCTTTCTGGATCAGATCCGGATCAGCCTTTGGAATATGAAAGAGGATCCCATTGTCCATCCCTGAGTCAAATTTCATGGGGTTTGGTCAATAATTAACCGAGATATTGAGAAACAAAATTTTTGGCCCCATTTACCACAATGTTAACTAAAATTTCAAGGTGATCCAGAATCCAGGATTTCTTCCGGATCACCCCCAAAATGAAATCAGTTCTTCCTTTTCACATTTCCAACAAATCCTGAAAATTTCATCAAAATCGGTCCATAACTTTTTGAGTTATGTTGCTAACAGACAAACAAACAAACAAACAAACAAACAAACAAACAGACAAACGCCGGCAAAAACATAACCTCCTTGGTGGAAGGTAATAAAATGCCCTGAATGATGCCGTCTGGGAGCTACAGGAGAAAGCTCTTCACAGGGAGATAACTCAGAGAAAGAGCCAAATGATAGAAAAGAGCTGGACTGCCTATCAGCTCTCATCCTGGTACTAAACAAAACATGGAGCAAACGCCAACCAAAACTGTACATTACTGATTTACCAGAACCTTTTCAAATGTTCATTGTCATCTGCTGTATTAGCCATCCCTTGTTATGATGTTGTCTTTTCATCTGTACTCACGTTGGCCTGTATGACGATTAAGTAGCGTGTGACCTCTTCATAGTTGAGTCTCTCTCGAAGCACCACAGATCCAAACAGAGTGAGAGGGATGTCAAAAGTCCTGGTGCTCTGAAACAGTGTAAACAAAACTGCTTAAGGCTGAGGTCAGCGGGTCAGACGTCTGCACTTATTCACATATTCATGCATTCTTTTGTTCACTTCAGCAAATACATTCTCCCACCACGAACCACAGAGGGCTTAAGTGATCCACACTAGACTACACTAAGCCTGGCTGCTGGCTGCAAAAGTTGAAGATCAAGAAATGTGGATTCACAGGACTGTAACAATGTAAGCTAGAGGGTGCCAACTACAAACTGGTGTATGTAGTATATCTTGATCTGAAATTAAACAAATCCAATTTATCCATTTTCACAAGAAAGATTAATAAGAATGGCATTAAGATGATACAAAAATATTTACTTTGAATTTAAAATTTAAAATTTTAAAATTTTAAACTTTACAATCTAGTTGGCTCAGTTCACCGAAGTTATAGATAACATATTAGTAAAACAATTACTATGTAATATTTTTAATCTCACATAAATAGACAAATGCAATTGCAATCAGTTTCCTTCACTCATGTTGGTCATTACCTAAGCATTGACAGTACTGCAGTGCAGTTCATTGGTTTTAAAGGGCCTATATTATGCAAAATGGACTCATTTTGGGCCATGTTATAATGTTGTTACCTCCTCAAAACATTTTGGCATCGTGTTTTGTTTTATTCACACGTTTGAGTAACTCTTCATTATTAGTCTGTCTACATCTCCGAAGCTCAAAATGCTTTGCTCCATCTTATGATGTCATGAAGCGGTAGTTTTCAAGTCAGTAGCTACCGTTTGTCTTTTGTTCAGTAGATATTGGTAATTCCAGGTCTGAAATCATCCAAATGATTCTACTGAAGGTGTATGGAGCTTAAAACCACAGTGGAGCACTTCCTGCATTACCACATGACATCACAAGGTGGGACAGAGTGTTTTCTGTTTGAAAAAAAGAACGGGTTTGTGTGTTAAACATGTGTGAATGAAACAAAACACAACTTCAGGTATGTTATGATGAGAAACCAACATAGGTCAGAAACTAGAGTAATATTTTAACTGTTTGAACTTATATTTTAGAGCTGTAGAACTTGTGTGCAGTTGTGAAGCTAACAAATATATTTGTAACATTTACAAATCACACATTACTTAAACAATCCATTGTTTCATGGCTGAATAGATGACATGCCACTTACTGGGTCAGACTTGTTGTACTGAATGGTGTACTCTATCTGTCCGTTCGGCCCATCGTCAATGTCCGTTGCTCCATTGCTTCCCCAGAAATCTGAGAAAACAGTGGTTCCTACTGGTGTCAGCTGTAAGACAAGAACAAACAACAACAATAATTAACCAACCTTCTCTCTTTTGTTGATGTGATAAAATTGTTTCCAAAGTTAAGCAATATCTATAGGGCAACATTAACAGGGTATTGTGTAGTTTTTCTGGTAGAGGGTTTGTCAAATACTTTTCTCCATTCAAATGTTATTGCTTTGTCTGGAAAGTCTGGAGTATGGAAACCAAACCAGACCAAGTTACAGGTCAGATCTGTGGAGAGATAACCCTGCTTACAGTCAGAATGCCTGTTGTTTTTCTATGTCTTTTTGAGCTGTAAAACCACCTGTAATTTAATAAATGTAAGGTAGAGCTATTTAATGTTATACTGTGGGACATTCCAGATAGGGCAGTGACATATCCATAGATGGACCCTCCAACACATAAGTTACACAATGCTGTAAATTCATAGAACTTCAAGTATTTTGTTCTTGTAGTGTGTGTTTATTTTGGTGGAACGGTTAGTGAGAAAGGGAAAGCAGCCGGGCGCCATCGCACATGTTCGATGAAGGACTAAAATGAAAAGGGAGCAGCATGGACACTTCGACTGCAGTCTGTCTCACCCGAGTGGTCAATATCTGAGCAACTTTCACAAGTACAGTCACGAGGAGCGAAGAAATAAGATACTTTCTAATGGAACATGGAAGGAAAAAAATGTATGGTAATGATGCACAGAGTGAGACTAGTGTGCCAATAGTGTTTTGTTTTTGTTTTTAAACAAAGAAAAATGCTTGATAATTCATTTCAGTTTTACACCACAGAATGTGATTTTCAAGATAATTTCCAAGGTTCTTTAGTATTTATATGTGCTGTTACACTAGCCCTGATACAGCTCAAGGACATTCTAAAGCAATAAACATGTTTGTATGTTTTTCAACCTGAATATGTCCTCCCTAACAGTTTCTAGTTTCAATTCCAGTATATATTACTCTGTGTATACATTTTTTACAATGCTAAACTTGAATGTTAAAACTATTTCCTGCTTCCACAACAAGCACAGCAGAAAAAAACAACAACAACAAAAATGTTTGGACATTGACAGCGTTATGCTAAAACATTTCCAATATTTAAATCAGGCAAAATTTCAACATTAGTATACAGAAAAGAGCGCAAAATTAAACAACAGGGCTATACAACTCTAGATACAGAACATATTTTGTTGTAGTTTTGTTTCATTTGAGTGCCTATGCTTTTGTTCACTACATTTAATTATCATTTTCAAAAGTAATTATGTTATTTTAAATCTTTTTAAACAGTACATTTCGTTTTCATGAGATGTTACTATTTCCTGTTTAATTTCCAAGGCCTAAGGTAAAATTGTTCACCATGGTTTCACAGAATGCTGGCAGCGCACGTGTGTCCCAGGTGGATTTGAGCCTATGCAGTGTTGAAAACAAATAGTGCTAATTGGGTTGGGTTTGTTTAGACAAAATACAGTTAGAGAGCGCATGGCTGCTCTGCTAGAGCTTTTTTGGACAAATTAGACACCACAAAAAAGTTGAAATTTAGTTGTTTTAAAGTTCTGCCACACTTTCACAGCTGTTTGTTCCAGCTCTCTTCATGCTTGAATACTCCATGATGCAACAAGTTATTATACAGTGCTGTTTTTTGTGCTTCTTTTCTGTCAGATTTTCCAAGTTTAAGAAAAAAGAACTGAGCTTGGAGATACCTTTTTCTTCTCCTCTCAGAATAAACTATTTTGAGGAGTGCCAAGTTAACTTCAGACATAAGAAGAAATATGCAAGACATTGTTTCATAGATATTTCTGTTGCATTATTATTACAAACATTTCAGAATAAGACTAGTTCTGTGTTGGAAAAAAAATAAAATGATGTAAATCAAATCTCTGTCATGGTGCATGAAACTTTTCTAGTCCACCACCTGTTTGTCTCTATGGAGATGTTTTTGATTTGCCTGGAATGATCTACATTATGTCATTAAACTGGAAGCAGGTGACGCATGTTAAACACCTGTAACTGAATAAATACAAGATAGTTTAATGCCATAGTGTGGAACTTTCAAGGCAGAGCAATAACATCACCACAAAGACAAGCAGATAATGGATCCCATCAGAAAAGTTATAGTGCAACTTTAATCATAAGCAACACATGTATCAATTAATATATGTCTTCAGTTTGACATGTGTGAATTGATACTTTGCAGTGACATCAGGCTGGGGGTGTACACATGTATCTCTAGGGTGGAACATTCAGAAGTTGCCATGGAGATACAATACACACATTAAACAACCATTCATGGTCCTGTTTAGGTGGTTAGATTTTCAACAGAAAGGTGAACTGAAACTGAAAAACTGTAGTGCTATTTGACGGGGACTTGTTTAACGATACAAAATCATCTTCTTAACAAGCCTCAGATAAAGCAGTGCTTATGGTTAGTGTCACACCCTCAGGAAATGTAGATCACATCAGCTGCAAAGTATCAATAGAAGGATATTTACTTTGAGTGTATGAGCGTATTGTGAAGCTTAAAATAAACGGTAGAGCCCCTAATAAAATCATTTCTATGACGTGTTAATTTAATGCCCTCGCTGTTAAATTAACTCTTTAGAGAAGTCAGAAGTGGTAATAATTGTGTGTTGTAATTTAAGTCATTGTCAGTGACAGTTTCTGTCTTTCCCAGCACGTCTCTGTAGTATTTCTCCAGCCAGCCTCACTTGTTTCAAAAATACTGCACTTTGCCTCAGTGAATTTGAACTGCTGCCACAGAACATGAAAGCCACAAGTTCCACCAGTTCAAATTGGGTGGATTGTGTGCGCACTTTCTCTCTCCGCCTCTCTCGCCCGGGGGACATGTCGGAGTGCGGAGGTCTAATCTCCAGACGACACCACCGCACGCTGCAGATTAGGCCCGATTTAGTTGCCGCGGCGATAATTTGTTACATCATTTTCCTCAACAGGGTTATCTCTGCCTCCCACTTAAGCCACAATGGTCTTATGAACGTGCAGGCATGACACTCTGACATTTTTTGGGGGATTTGTTTCCAATATTAAAAAAAGGTTTGGTGGTGCCAGATCATGAGTTAGGCCTCAGGGATTGCCATGTTCTCCCCAAAAAATTGACACAGAAAAATTGGTGTTTTCATGACTGTTTTAAATATAAGTACTAGTATTTTCTAAGCAATTTGATGGTTCATATTATTGCACTACAAAATCCAACAAATAAAACCGTGATAAAATAACCCTAATATATATTTATTTCACTTTTCAATGGGTTTTCAAAGCTACTGAGAATGCACCTATACAAAGCACGATTCTGAGAAATGTACTGGGCGGGTTCAAATATGGAAATTAAATAATAACTAGTACTAATTAAGTAATAACTTAAACACTAATTATTGTTCATTGTAGGCTCATGACCAGTAATAATAATGTTTGAAATCACAGTATAATCATGTCCAGTGCTATTTACTTGAATACAATACAATAAATTATAGGATCCACTTGTCGATGAACTATTTGTGTTTTAAGGAGAGGAATATCTTCTTTCAGTCTCTTCACTGGTTAAGACTGAAACCAGAGTATTAATGTTTGGAACTGAAAATAGCAGTATAGATGTAGTATTTCATGTACACAACAAAATGTGATGATAATTGTCTTAATCAGCTTGAGCTCTCTTCACTTAAAGGTGCATAGTGTAACTTTTCTTGTAGCCTGATTCATCAGCAGGTTTTACTTCGTGGAAATCGTCTGACCTAGGATTTGTTCGCTCGACGATAGGCGGGTACTTCTTTATTTGACCAATTGCTGCTATTTGGTTGTGACGTATGTAATGCGCCAAATCCCGAAGGAAGAAAGGCAATAACTTCTTTCCCCTTGATAAAATTCACCAAACATTCTCTTTGTTGGTAATGATTCCTGAGATCGAGGATTTAAAGCCAGAACACAGAATGTATGGCTTTGTCTCCATCTATCTCGACTGCTTTGTTTACTGTTGTGCTGTAGCACAAAAGGGACCCAGACAGATGCTTGAGTTTGACGTCATGGCTTCACAGCTCTTCGCTCATTGGCTGGTACGTGCTCTGCAACTTCCGGGGGTTTTGCAAACTGTCTAGTGTATTCAGATTCCTGACCTAGTCGCTGGAGAGAAATTAAATTGGCGCTAGGTGGCACCAGCCTGGCTCCTTTTCTTGTGGAGGGCCAATCAAATGCTTTTTTCCATAGAGATAATATCGCTTTGTCTGGAATATTTCACAGTCTGGTATTAAACCTTTTTATCCTCATGGAGACCAAACCAAACCAAGTTACAGGTTAGATGTGTGAAGAGGCAACCCCACTCACAGTCACAATGCATATTTTTTTAGGTATTTTTGAGGTATAAGACCACAGTAACTGAATAAATGTAAAGTAGAGCCCTTTAAAGTCATACCGTGGAACATTCCAGGCAGAGCAAGGACATATCCATAGAAACAAACAGGTAACAGACCCAAACCAAATGGTTACATAGTGCCCCTTTAACAAGAGAATTTATTTTGGACATGCATTTTATTCTCACTTTAAATAATTACTTAAATATTCCAACACCAATTAATAAGGATGGGAGGAGACACATTTTCCACAAGACAATATGAGATCAGGTCTACGAGAATGAGACAAGAAGAGATTTTAACATAAATCCTAATATATAAATTTCACAATTCGTTCACAATTTAATTTCATATTTTTGTTTCCATTCTAGCACTGCTTTTTGGAACCGTAAAAGATGTAGCTCACCAATATGTAACCCTTTTTTGTCCAATCCAAATGTAAACTTGAAAAAAACTAAATCTCACAAGATAATTTTCTCATGTGTGCACGATCTTGTGACAGTTTTGTCTCATGAGATCTTGTGGCACGTGAACTTGTACCATCCCTACGAATTAATGTAGCTATGTAACTTAATTACCAAACTGTGCTTACATTTCTACAACTCACAGTGACTATTCTTGAAAATCCTATTCAATCTTCACTTGACCATAAGCCACGGGAGCATGAATCAGGGTCCACTTTCAGCTGTTTTGTGCTCTTAAAATGAATCAGAGGCAATTATTTCAGTTGGAGTAATGAGGAAACCGCGCGCCACGTTAGCTTCTAAGGAAGATAAAATGGAAAGGTTTGAAGTGTGGCAGAAGAAAGTGGCTAAGGCGAGAGGAAAGGTGCCATAATGGAGAGCTGGAGGAGAGGAGCAGAGAGGAGCCCAAAACAGGAATGAAAGGGATGCTAGCGGAGAAAGATTGGGCAGGACAGGCCTAGGGAAACTCTATAATGAGATATTGGAGTTGGGTTTGCCTGGCTTTGAGCTAGCAGCAGGCTACAAGCGTCCCTGTCCAGTTTAGAAGTCAAGCTGGTTAAATCTGGCTCCCCCCATGCTAGAACATTACAGAAGAATTGGCAGTTTAAAGCCTTAGAAAGCAAAAAAGGCAGGGTAGGTTTCGTTTTTTTGTATCGCATCTTCTGTACATTTTCCGAAAGTGACAACTCTATAAGGTGAATAAAAAAAAAACAACTAAATGTATTTTGGTCTGCTGTGCAAAAGTGTCACGACTGAATTGTGGTCACTATAATGGGAAGAATTTTGAAGTGGAAACTATAGCAACTACTGCCTTTCTATAACACTGACGTCTACTACAAGAAAAAGAAGTCATTTATATGTGTAGTTATTTCTGGTTCTAAATAGTTATTATAAAAGTTAGTATGTAGACATTTTATCAGGATAATATTCATATTTAATTGCACTTGTCCATCTGAATTGTCTGAATAAATGACCAAAGATGAAGCGAGCAAAGTTTAGAGTTACCATTATGTAAAGTGTTGTGTACTATGTGTGTGTGTGTATAAAGAATCAATACAAGAATACATTATGTTAACCCAAACATGCTAATAGATTATAATGTTTGTGTATAGGGCACTTGCTTATTGCCCTATGGGTTTTTGTGGGAGCGTAATGTCATGCTCTGTCTTTTTCCAATAGCTATATTATTTTTTGGGTCAATTTGAATAAAGCAGCCACATATTAAACCAAATACATGTAAATATAAGAACTGATACAGTCTACAGTTGATCATTTCTTCAGCTGGTGAATTAATCGCATATACAGTTCTCACTCACTAACACGGCTCACTGTTTCGTGGATTTTTTTGTGTGAAATTTTGCATGTTTTTTTTTACAGAGTTTGAACATGCATTTTGTTCCTCCCCCTGCATCCTGATTGGCTGAGGGACTGTAGACCATTGTCAATCAATCGCTGTGTCTCCTGTACAGTTGGACTTCTGGACACGCTGGAAGTTATGTGGCTGTAGGTGCCATTATGGAAAAAATTAATCTTTGGTTTGTTAGCTAAAGAAGGAAAAATATAACAGCAATACGTTTTAAGAAGGATGCAAAAAGGGTTGTAACTGTCCTGTCTGAGAAAAGTGTATAAAGTGTGTGGCGAGGGGTTTTATAGCCTTAAAACATATAAAATAATTGTAAAACATAAAGCTGACTACTTTGCGCCTTCACCTATTGCAGGCTATTTTTAGAAGTTAACCCCCGTGATAAACGAGGGACCACTGTATAATACAAAAAGGTGATCAGAACAGTAGCGCTGTAGTCCTTTAGATATTTAGAGTGACCAAAATGTATCCAAGTTATTTTATTTAGATTGTAAGGAATTATATGTAAAAGAGAAGAAAGAAGAAGGTTTAGTGGGTGTGAATCCCATGTGTGTCTGCCTTTTTTCATAAAGTAAAAAGACACTTTTTCCAAGTACTTTTCTGTATAAATAGTTGTTTTTTCTTGAACTCTGAGTGCACTTTGGGTAAGAGAATGAATTGTTTTTGCCACACCCCCTTTTTAGTCCACAGTTGATCGCCAGAACATGTCTTTAGTCAACCAAGAATTTCTTTAGTCGACGGCAGACTTATAGAACAGTTAATAAATCTAAAGCTTTATTTTTAAAATGTATTTTATTTGGCAGTTTATTTATTTAATGTGTTTATTTAATCATTTAGAAAGTTTACTTTCATCACCCTAGTTACATACAAAGTGAATGGTTAATCTATTGTATTAGTCAATTTGTGTGAATAATTTGAATATAAAAATTTAAACTGTGGTGTTTCTTCTCACAACAATCGTAGCATCCCTACCCTACTTTGGTAGTCAGTGTTGTGGCGAGGCCAATATTGAACAAATACTTGATTTAACGGGAGTCAACGTCCCTAAGGTTGCTAAGGGGACATGCGAAACATAACAATATACTTCAAGCTCAGACATGACGTCAAATCAGAGGTCCAAGTGGGAGTCGGAAGATAATCGAACGCAAGGTCAGTTCTTCAATGGAAGTGTTCACTTAACATGTTAATACAGAGGCTTTAATGGACGTGAGTGAAGCCCCACCCCCTACTATGTTTGCTTTGCTGTTTTAAACAAGTTTAACTGTAGTTAGCTCCTGTAGTGATTTATAAAACCTAATATGAAATTATTGTTTCATTGTACTCTCCTTTTGAACGCTCTGTGGCTGCCATTAGAATTTTTTTTTGTCAAAATTGAATGAAAATGGGGCAATCTTTAGGGTAAAAATCTTTGGAATAGCTATTGCATGCATTGGCGGCTAGTGCCCCCTCAAACCCCACCGTTGACGTCCCTTCACCAGACCACTTTAGCATAATATAGTATAGTACAGTATAGTTTGTCAGCATTCATAACCAACACAAATCTTCTCTCATAAAAAGTACATTCCCTCATACATGTGTGTGCGTTTACCTCGCTGATGGCCTTGTAGTATCTCGGCTTTTGAAAAACTGGAGCGTTGTCATTCTTATCTCGTACCACAATCCGAACTTCATGAAGAATCACAGTTCCGATTAGCATGTTGTAGCACTGGACTTGAACAACGATGGAGTGGATTAGCAATGGTGGCTGAAATACACCAAAAGACACAGAACTCAATTTAGTAAATCACATTAAAAGTTTGTCTAATAACTTTTGCGGCTTCATCAGAAATGCTCCAAATATGCTGAACTACTTTATGGAAAATAAAAAACAGCAGGAGTCTTGAGATAACGTTCTATTTGCTAAAACAGATGCCAAAAAAGTAAATTAAATCATTGCGGGATAGAAAGAAGCCAATCAAATAAATTTCTTGGCTGAACATGGCAAGTTTGTACGGCATTGGGGATGTACTTGAGCTCAAAATTAAATCAAAATATCCTTAATTACGTCTCGATCCAAGAGGCGTCCGGTGCTGTTGAGGTACAGGGCTTGCTTGGCGGGGTCGAGGAGCACCCAGTAGTCGTAGTTGTCCCGTAGGGAGAGGGAGATGGTGCGATTGGGGCCGTCGGCTATTCCGTTGATTCTCATGTTTTCCACCAGTATAGTACCTGAGGAGAAATGAAGCTGTAAGTACTTCAATTGAAACTGTATTAAAGCTCTTTTCAAAATGGTGACAGTAAGGAAGAAGAAAAGATTAGGTTCAAATAACGTATTACAATGTGACAAGATGGAATACAAAAATAGGGCAAGAGGATTGGACAAGTACGTAATGACATAATTTCAAGATATTTTTAGCAAGAAAAATGTCTGCCATTGGATGGAGGCAAAAAATATGAATTTAAAGTGGTACATGCAATTTAGGTGAAGAAAAAGCATCTCCAGAGACAAGCAGATCCTCCACCAGAAAAGTTAAATAATGCACCTTTAAGAGGAAATCAGGACTACTAAACCAGGCCTGAACCCACATCCTGATAAACAAGAACTAAATAAATGACTGAACCAAATAAACAAGAAATATTTTCAGGATAATACCATGACTAGTGCTGATATCAATACTAAGGAAAATACTCTATATTCAATACCAATTCCAATACCACAATTGGTGCTTCGCACTGCTGAACAGTAACAATAGGCCCTACACCACCCATGGCGCTCGGGCCTAATGATAATAAAAAAACACACACTTGAATGTAATTTTCAACATAAAATAAAAATAATTTCTTTGATATCACCTTGTGGTCTTATATCTGTGTAATCTCTCAGTCGTCCCAGTATGTGCCATAGTGGTCCATTAGTGTATACTAGTATAATAGCTCAGATAGCAACCTTAGCAGTCAAAGAGGAACAGAGTCAAGTTGAGCCGATTTTAGTGCAGACCCAAAGTGCATTTATTTCCACAGCCAAGAAGAAAATCGGAAAAATATTTACAAAAAAATTTACAAAAGTTAAAAACAGGCATGGCAAACCCTATGATCATACACAGCACCTTCTTCTCAACAAAGGTGAGGGTGGCTCCTTTTACAGACCACCTCCTTTAATTGGATGAGCTCATCTTAAAGTACAGGTTAAAGTTAAATTCAAATAAATTCCATTCTACATTTAAAGAGTTAATCATGTCAAAAACAGTGATCCAAATATTCAATTTAATCCAAATACAAAAATATATATCTTTATTAAATTAGCAGTGTTTTATTGTTAATTTTAAAATAGTAAGTAGAAAAGTTAAAATATCTGTGCACAACTCTCAAGTCCCGGGGTTTCAGAATGGCCGCCCATTCGAGTCAAAAGGCCGAGCTCAATGACGCATGATTCGCCTTTAGCCCGGTGAGGTATTTCCCGTGACCAAGCATGCGCAGTAGTGCTCTTCTCTCCCATGGCCTGGGCACACGCAAATGCACGCGAGCGCATGCATGGAGAGCGGGCTTGTGCATCACGTGATCGCTTTGACCAATTGGAGTGAGAGGAGCAAGAGCGGAGCAGAGCACGACAGGAGCTTTTGAGCTGAGAAAAAGTTTATGATCTAAAAATAGGTAAAAATCGACAACAAATCCGCCATTTTTGAAAGTTGTAGGTGCCCTGTCAGAGGAACACGAGCAGCTTGTGATTACATTGCGCTTTATGAGAAAAATCTTGCCTCAGCCCAGGGGATTTTTTTCCGCTGAAATTCCAGTGAGAGACCACTACGTCAACTGGAGGCAGCTACGAGCTAGCAATACCCTATCCAGTTGTTTTAATAGATCCATGACCCCCTCCTTCTAAAAAAATGGTTGCCTGTCCCGGAACTTTCTTAAGGTAATCCGGCTACTCGGGGACTCTTTTAGCCAGAGCACCTGAGGCAGACAACACAAGAGGGTAAGTACAATTCATTTCAACCACAATCTACTTATTTAATTTACTTAGTTCATTTTCTTTACAGGCCACTTTACTGCAAAACCACTTCAATCAATTATCAATAAACATTTCAAAACTTTGCTTATTTGTCTCACCTGTTAGCTAGCACCAGCCTATGTAATGGACTACCTACTTTACAACTAGTCTACGTGCTCTTATACTTGTTCTGATACAGCTAAGGTCATTCTAAAACTATTCAGAAAAGGTTAATTTCTGTCCTGTGAATGTGATTTTTTTTAGTATTAATACCTGCTCAAATGAATAGCTAGCTTTGATACTAGTTTTAATATCAATATCTGATTTTCAATACTTTTCATAACCCTAACCATGACTGAACCACAAAACAAAAGGAATTACCAAGATTAAGCCAATCCAGGATAAATTCAATTCCCAACATCCAAATTACATTACATTACTAAATGAGAACAAACTGCACCAGAACTAAACCAGGGAAAAAAATCTGATGTAAAGACTTTAAAAAGCAAAACAAAAAATACTTAAAATGAGCCCAAACTGAAATAGCCCCTTCCAAATCACAAGCAAGCAGAACAAAAATAAACCAAGCTACTCCTTCACAACACTAAATGAGCCCCCACTGTTACCCAGGCCACAGTTTGAGAACTACAGCTTCAGTTCTCCTTTCGGCAATATTGATTTTCAGAATATTATGTGGGCTGGAGCCAAGGTCATGCGACTGTGAGACCAACAAATTCAATTTATGGACCAAATATCCAACTCTCTTCTTTTCTTAAACCAATTTTTAAAACATTCTGGGATTGACTCGAAATGGAAATTCAAAAAGACAGACAGGAATAGGGAGTCGTGCTGGCCTGGTTGGATGCAATAACGCTCTAATAACTTTGAATCTTTCATCTGTAAAAAAATAAAAAAATAAGTAAAAGTCATTTGTATGTAGAGGCAGACAGTGGTAGAAGTAAAGGTTTATTGAGCTCCGAAACAACAAACAGGGGGCGTAGTTTGGAGCGAGACATGAGAAGCTAAATCCAGACGAAGAAGAATGGATGTGTTTGTAGTGAAGCTGCATATAATCTTTCAATTAAGGCTGAGCCGAAAAGGATTTAGGAAAACAAAATGGGAATTAAAAGGTAAGTTTCACTGGGGAAGTCGTGAGGGATAATGTGACACAGTGAGAAGCAGCCAGACAATGCAAGGAAACAATTAAAAAGAGGGAGAAAATAAACTAGGATTATGGCAAAACTGAACCAGAAACAAACTAGCAATCAACAAGGACTAAACCAGGTCTGCGGAAAATGGAACAAATCCGAAATGAACACAAAAGGAGAACCCAGGACTAAAATCAGGACTCAAATCAAACTGAACCAAAAATTATACCAACAAAGTTGAATATAAGTTGCATACACAATTAAAGGTGCACTGTGTATTTTTTTGGTTCAGGGTCCCTCACCTGCTTCTACGGATATGTCATTACTCGGCTTAGAATGTTCCACATATGATATTCAACATTTATAAAATTACAGGTGGTTTTCTAGCTTAAAAATACCTAGAAAAAGAGGCATTCTGACCGTGAGCGGGGTTGCCTCTCCAAAGATCTGACCTGTAACTTGGTCCAGTTTGGTGATAGAAAGGTTTAATACCATACTGTGTAATATTGCTGACGTACGTACAAAAATGTTGCCTATGTGACTTTCAGTGTTAAAGATGCATGTAACGTTTCTGGTGGAGGGCCCGCCACCTGCTTGTCTCCATGGAGATGTAATTGTTTTGTCTGGAACATCCCAATAAAGCATTAAACATCTCCATCTTGTCTTAAAGTTAGTGATGCAAAAAAAGGCAACTTGAGGTGGAAGTGAGCATTCCACAAGTAAGACTCTGAACTCTGGACATGGGGGGTTTCAGAGACTCAAATGGCTCAAAGGCTCAAATCGATTCTCAAATGGACTCCAAGTGAGCAAGTTTGATGAAGTTTGTTGAAATGTATTGATTGTATTCCACAAATATTAATTTATTTTGTCTGCATGTACACTTTTACTAAGAATTCTACATAAAGTTTAATAAATGAGGCCAGAGGGCATAAAAGATGATAATGCCGTGTTTACAGGTCAAATCTGTGGAGAGCCCACTCATAACCTAAATTACTGTTTTCTGTTATTTTCTAGCAATAAAAGGACCAAGTTTTAATGCCAAACTGTAGAACAGTCAAGCATAGTACAAATATCAAAATCGATGAAGAAATAATACAGAGTGCAGCTTTAATAATAGCTCAATATACTAAATGGTGTTAAAGTTCTCTTGTGCTCGCTGTCAGAGGGTAAGTAAAAGCCAGACGGGCAGGGTGACACGACCGGCACAACTTAGTGACCTGAGAAGACAGAAAAGTGCAACTATAAGATCAAAGCGTCTCCCGGAGTGATAAAAGCTCTGAGTCTGCTTTGAAGCCTTTGTTACTATGTGCTATAATTATTTGGAAAACCTAAAAGTAGAAAATAAAGCCCAACTTGTAGACATATGTAGGCCTGTCACGACTTATAGTTCAATATATGAAAGCTGGAACAATGTATTTAGGGGTTTAATATTTATCGTGTGCACAATTTCTTTGCAATAGTGGGGAGATATTTGTCATTTTTATGTAAAAAGGTCAAATATGAGCTGTAGAGTGCTGAATAAATACCTTCTATAGTTAATTATTAGTTCATTCTGCTATTTATTTCATGGGTTTTAATGATACAGTATATTTCAAATTAAGATTATCCAGCGTGGTTTCGGTATCACAAAGTAGTTTTAACATTATCGTTTATCACACTATTTTTCTGTAGCAATATATTATGCTTGAAAATGTGTTATTGTGACAGGCCTAGACACACAGTATGTTATGTAACACCTTGTTTTGGTGTAACAAGTTTGCAGCTGACGCACTGAAATATTGCCATTTGTGCCAAAGGTTCGCCATCTATTTGTCTCCACAGAGTTGCTTTTTTTCTTATCTATCTAGACAAGTATGCAGACGTGCAAGTTACAGGTCAGATCTGCGGGAAGGCTGCTCACAATCCATGTTTTTCAAATTTAACGCCATCCTGTGAAACATGAAATTAAACACTAACCCATGGAGACAAGGAAACGGACTCAGACTCTGAAAAAAGTGACTGATATTACGTTTCTTTATTTGTGACTCACTGTAATATTTACGCTATAATGGTTGTGTTATTTTCTCACTCAAATTGTAAGTCTACAGACAGAC